GATGCAAGCAGCATCTAACGGCTTCACTGTTCTCTACGGCGACGAAGGGAGCAGGGCCGTCGGACACGCACTATGATTCTGGTACACCATCTGAGGAATGTAATGATAACCATTCTGTGGCTAAAGATTAGGATAAGTCTTTTAAAATGTTGATTGCTCTCCCTTCTCCAGTCACTTGGTTTTAGTTAATTTAACCATCAGCAGAAATGACTCCATGAAACAGGATGCCAATCCCAAGACAGTTGGTACTTTCAGAGCGACCCCGGCTCTCCTTGTAACAGGACACTTGGCCGTGGGATTGACTTTTCTACTTTAAGGCATGGGAAGGCACTGAGGATGACACTGGAGTTTCCCTTAGAGGAACCTGGTAAGGAGGACAGAGTGTCAAGTATTTCCAAACAGGCATTCCCACTAGAATCTGTCTCTATAGAGAAATGCTTTGGTGGGCCTCAGGCATTAGGGGGCGTGAGGAGGATGGAATCATGAATATGGTGAAGTCACCCCAAAGCAGTGTCCAACCTGTGGAACTGGAACTCACACTGCACACTGTGGCTAGTAACTTTTTAGTCCGGAGAAAAGATTAGGTCTCTTTGGTGGTGGCCACCTTTCTTTCCAAGGTGAAAACAGTAGCATGTTGGATTATGGGAAAGATCAGCACTAGGGGGAATCCAGAACCCCATTTGTGGGAATGTCGCTGACCATGGGCCCCATGAGCTCCCTCAATGAACTGGTTCACACTAAACTTAACCCGGGCTCTGAGGTCACAGGTGTGTACCATGGAGCAAAACTCTACTTTTGAAGAAGGAAATGTCTGTGTCTTTACCCTCCTCAAGCATTATTTTACAATGGCACTTAGGGTCACCTTAGGGGGAACTAATCCCATCATTTTTGGAGACTTCATGGGACAGTGGCACTGAAAACATCAAAGCAGAGCAGGGATGGATGTCTCTGAAGGGAAGGCACTTGATTTAATGATTAGAACTACCTTTCCAGGTCAGTTAGCACACAGCTAGATGTCTGACAGGCCCCTCAGTGCCCAGCTTTCCTCTGCACCGTGCCTGATGTCCACACTAAAAAGGAATTGTATGCCTAAGAGACTCTAGAGTAAAGGAAGCTGTGGAGTTCTCGGAGGCTGGGAGCCCTGAACCAAAGGGCTCCACTTTTTTTTTTTTCTTGCAGGCAAGAGAACTGTGTTTAAACTCTGTCCACGTAAATTGCCTGGGTCTATATGGATGTCTACTTTCCTCACTTGTAAATCAACAACCCTTTTTAAGCTATCCTGCCGCAATTTCCAGAGGATCCCCACAGCTTCTGGTTCATCTTCATCTATCCCTGGGCTCTGGCCTCCACCCTCTCCTGTCCCAGTTCTTCATTCGCTGCTACTTGGATTATTTTCCCACAGTCACGACCAGCTGGGGTAGCCCCAGTCTGCGTTCCCTACCAGAAAGTTATCATGGGGTGGCAGGACTAGCCTGTGAAATCCAAGGCTGGCTAAACTCTTCTGGGTCTTATTCACCACCGTGTCTTATGGGTCAGTCCAGAGCCAAGCATACAGAGCTCAAATACTTTTGTAGAATAAAAATTAGGCAACATATACTTAGTGGTAGAAATTACTTAGTATATGTGAGGCCCTAGATTCAATCCTCAGAACTGCAAAACAGGAAAAATGTACATGAAAGAACTTTTTGAAATGTAGAGCATATTAATACAAGCTAAATGAAAGTACACCTAAGACTCATGGACACACCTTAACTGTCTCGCCCTTTCTATCCTTTCTTTGTGGACATATTATCTATCAAAGAAATGAAACAGCCTGTTTGTCAAATAAGGGTCACACTTCATGTGGTGCCAACCGAAGGGCTTCTCCCAGTGCAGTGACTACATCCCCATGTATGCATGTGTTCACCCATGTGGTAGACACAGGTGTGCAGGAGCAAGTGCTCACATACTGTCCCTTGCTTGAGAATCCTTGGATACAAAGACCTAGGGTGCAGAAAGGCTTTCTCTGCAACCCACCAAGGGAGTCAAGAGCTAGTTCATCAGGATTTCTCTTAACACCTATGCAAGGGTTACGAAAATCAAGTAGGATTCTGCCCCTCCCCTGTATGTTTTTGTGGCTTGTGAAGGGCATGAGGATTTTTCCAGATCACTTTCTCATTTGGAGGGTAACAAGAGTTGAAAACAGTGCTGGAATGCCTTCTTGGTGCCTCTGCTTCAAGAGCAGTGGCCGAAGGGCAGCTCTGCTGGTGCTGAGGGCCACTCTCTGGCATGCTGTTTACCACCTCACTCCACTCCATCTTTCCCAGAGGCCCCTCCACTGCTGAAGGGAGGGGTCAGATGGAACCGTTTTTGTTAAAGCTTTAAAATAAAATAGAAGGATAAATATGCTTAAAGCTATTCTATTCCACACGGGTGGCAATAACCACCAGCTGTCTCAGAGACAGCAGATGTAATTGATAAAACAATTCAAAACTAGTATAGCTCTATCATCAATAAAATTAACACCCAAAAAGTAAATAAAAGGTTTCAAGGAAGAGCCAGATAAGCCCCCCAAGTTGGCCAATAATTAAATCTGTAAACTAGGCACCGAGTCTTTCAATTCAGATTACAAAAGAGGATCAGCTGGGCATCTCAAGTTGCTGGTTGAGGGCTGCACACCATATGCTGCCTTTGAAGCTGTCATTAACCGAGGCAGGCACCAGTGAATGGAGGATGAGGGTGGGAGCAGGGCAGGGGAAGACCTGCAAGTGTGCAACATTAATCCCTAATGTGGAAAGGATGGACTTTCTACCCAATACAGCAGGGAGTGGGTAGCATTATTCATTATCACAGTTTAGCATTAAATGGGCAACACCTACTCTAATTTATTGATGGGCTGTTTAAGGCGGGTGTTAACCTGTTTGTCTTGTATTATAATTGAATTCAGTCTCCAGGCTACAGAGATTTGAGAAGTTCATCCTTTCTCAATCAATATGCTCCCCTTCAGTGACCCATTTCAAGACAGCTTCATAAAAAATAATGTATTTTGTTTTAATAAATTTAAACACTATGACAGCTGCTCAATTTTTATTGGTTGTTTTTTTTCTTCCTTTAGATGTCTCTTCGCAGCCCAGAGAAGCCAAGCTCACAATCAATAGTAATTGATTAATCAGCATCCCCTTTGAACAAAGGTGCTAATCAGTTTTTGATTAGTTCATCAAACCAGATGCAAAGGCAACCCAGCCCAGCCCGCTAGTTCATCAGTGTTCTACATGACTTATGACTTCCAGCAATAGGAGTGCCTCGGTCCTGGAGGGAATAGGGGGGCAATGTAATTATTAATTTAACCGAATTATTATGAACACAAACAGTTGTTGGTTTATTGCTCCTGACTTAGGTGATTGATAGAACTGCAGTGGGGACCCATCTAACATGTTGCAGGGCTGAGACCTGCAGTGTTCCTAATTGATGAAGCTGGGAGAAGAGGTACCCGGCTGACTCATGTTTTCCTAAAGAGGATAAAAACTCCTTTTGCCTGTCTGAATGATCCTTGTTGGGAAAATACGCTAAGAGAGATCAGGGAAAATCTAGAACTTTCTCAGGATTCCTGGGAGGTCCAGTCGTGTCAAGTTATTGTATCTGGGGTGACCTCAGACGCCAGAACAGAGAGCACCTTCACCCTTCACCCGGAAGGCAAACAGCTGTTCACTTCTGGCACTGCCTGAGAGTCAGGCAGGACTTACCTACTTCTATTTTTAAAGAAAGTAAATGTTTTGTTTTCATGCGTTTGCAACTTCTTTAAATGTATCTATCAGTAGAAAGAGGCAAACAAATGGCATGGCTGATAGGTGGCTACCTTCCTGATCTATTTATTTACTGAAATTCACTGGTATTTAGAATTCATTCATTTACCTAGAAAGCATTAGCTGGGTGCTTACTGAAGAGAGGTGTAAGCAGGGGACAGATCCAGTGAGTAGCCTCCTGGAAGCATCTACTCTAGGAAGTTCCAGAAGCCCAGCTCCCCCTGACACAAGGGACAGAGCAGAAAAGTGAAGGTATTCGTGAGGCCTGAAGCACACAGCTGGAAACACATCCAGTGTGTTCTGAGATATGGGGGAGTACTAGCTTGTTTCCACTGAGGTATAGGTAAGAGTGGCGCCTCAAGCACCAGTCATTCAAAATTGCTGTAGTGAACGCTGTTTGGGAAGGGGTAATGTGGAGCCCTGTTTTCCAGTGGGCTCCAGTCAGCAACCACATGCCAGCGCCTTGGTTTCTCCACTGCAATGTTAAGGGGCTTGCTCACTGATTCACTAAGTGACCAATCAAAAAGCTCCAGAAGCTTTAGGCAGTTGTCACCGAAATCTCATGACATCATGGAAGCTCGAATAATTGTTTAGCTCTGACCACTTTAAATCTCCTTCCTCCCGCCTTTGTAGGACATGCTTCTTATTCTGGATTAGTAACACCTAAATCCTGGAATCAAGCATGAAACCTACTTTTTGCAAGAGCTCAGTATGCTGTAAAAAAGGTTTGAGGTGGATAATTAGTTTACAGTCTGGTGCGTGACAAAACAATTGGCCCCCTCCTCCCTGTCCTGCTCTCCCACCTACTTCAAAGTATACAATATGGCTTTCTAGTCTAGTCCACAGAAGTAGACAGTCAATAGGACTTTAAGATCATGTCACATAATCCAACATCAACTGCTTCACAATGCAACCAAATTTCCCCTGAGCCATTGCGCATCTTGGATGGAATCATGACTTCAAGTCACCAAGCAGAGTGGCCTCAGCATTTTGTTCTCTACTGTGTTAAAAGCACAGGCCACAGTCTGCAACAGCGCATTGTTACTGTAGGAAAGAAAGGTGGGTGACATAACGGAGAAGTTATCTACACATGGTCTGTTCTTTTCTTAGTCTCAGCACCCACATTGATTGCTCAGCAAACCGAGTGGTCATTTGGTCACAGTGGACAAAGCCCCCAGGTTGGACGCTGCAGCACCTTACCTAATGACTAGCCCTTACCTGAGAGGTCCTCACTGTCCAGCTCTTCTGCGGAATTGGGCAACTGAGTAAGGCCTTACAAGTAAAAACAAATCGTTTTTCTTTTCATTCCTCGAGGGACATAAACAAGACACTTAAGAACTGAGGATGGACTTCGTTTAAAAAAAGAAAACATGAGCCAAATCTCTTGCTATCTCCCGCTTTTTCGGAGAGCTTGAATATATTAATCCATATGTTCATTTCTTTAATTACGTAATTGTTATTGATATATGATAAGGCAGAAAGAGTCCTCAGTCTCCACTGTTGAAAGCACATGAAACATGAGGGTGAATGTTTAAAAACCACTCATTCAAATAAGCATGCAGAAAGAAGAAAGTGAAGCTGAGTTGTCAGCTGTGGACACTCTGATATATCTCTTCAATATGAATGTACTTAGATGCTACATATGTAAGCTTTATCGCATTTCACTGAGAATTGAAACCCTTTGCCAATACTGACAAACATAGTTCATTTATCAATTTAGAAATGATCTTGGATCACATATTTCAAAACAGTACAGCATCTGCTAACTGCAGACTGCAGGTTATGCCTGCATCAGAAAAATCTGATTCACAACTCATTTTTTTTTAAAGAAGAATTTCATAAATCAATAGTATTCCAGAAAAATAAAACCCTCAAAGCTGAAAAAGCAGTTAGGTCAGGAGATAATCAAGCACGGCTTGAAATGCCGGTGTTCCAGTCAACCCCAAAGTGGCCCAGCTGGGACAGCTCTCCACCAGCTCTGCTCTGAACTAAGTGAGGCCAAGAGGAGCGTAGCCAACCAGAGGGAGCTACAGCTAGGGATGGCTCCCATTTCTTCATGCTTATTTCTCGGCTGATCTTTCAAGGAAGTTTATTAAATACCATAAAATGTTAAGACGGCCAAGGTGGCCTTTGCTTATTCACTGCTGTTCTCCTTCAATCCCAACTTACTGCCCCAGGTACTCGAATCCCCACAGTAGCCGTCTTACAGCATGTGTCTGTCGTTTTGAAGGTGGTTGTGGGTCTAACTCAGCTGTAAGGTCTTTGGAGAGAGACACAAGTGTTGTTCATTTTTGTATCTTTCCCCTCCCTGAAGCTCAGCACAAACTATCCTATCAGTAAGTATTTGCTGAATCAATGTTTTGTGGATCATCCTTGGTCAATTACTGATCAAAGCCGAAAGGCAGCCATAGTGGCAGACTGGCTGCCATTTCTATTTATTTCAAATGAGCTAAAACAAGCTTGGATGAGTGGACACCGAAGCTCGGATTTTCTGAGGTGATTTACAAAGGTGCCAAATGAACATGGCGAGCTGACTGAGTACGTGAAGAGGCTGGCCTACCATCAGCCCTAAGAGAAGAGAGTTTCTCACATGAACCCTGAGTGCCGAGTACTCTAGAGCACAAGCCAAATCAACACAAAAATGTTTAGAGTTCACAGGTGTCCCACAGCTATGGAACCAGGCAACTAAAGGGGACGTGGTAATGCAATAAATTATAGAGGCAGCTGAGGGGAAATGCTAGCCCTTTGTCCTGAAATCTGATTGGCTGAAAGTGTTTCTATTTCTAATTGGCTTGATCCATTGTATAAAGACTAATGAATACAATTATTTGAATAACTGTTATAAATGGGCGACATAAAGTAGTTCTCTGTAGTTAATTATGAATTTTCAGTTCTCAGAAGACTAATCCCTCACTTCTATGTGGCCCGATGAATATCAAAGTGTTCTACATATGTGCTTGGTGCCCACTGAACCACATTAAACAAGGATGTTTCAAGTAGGCAACTTTACTGCTGAAGGCTTGTTTCCTTGGGGAGGACACTAGAAAGCTAATTTTAAAAAAATAAAGACAAATATGTTTATGAAGTATCATTGATATGCAAAGTTTTCCATTAAGAAGCGACAGACAGTTGATATACACCTCATTAAAGCTGAAACTGTCATTTTTAATGGCATAAATTTTAAGATATACCAAATCTTCTGGAATCTCCTGCTTGGATTATGTTCCAAACTGAGAAGCCATTTAGGCCAGGGGCGTTAAATTTGTTTTTGCAGGGCAATTGTTTTTATGAATCTACAGCACACTGCCATAGTTGGATGATTTCTGAATAAATATAATTAGAAGAGTTTACCATAGCACTGGGTGTACAAGCGAGGAAGCACAAAATCTACCTCCTAGAATTGCTTTGGTTTAGATATTTTTCTTTCACGTTAAAAATTAGACTCCTCTCACTTTCTCAAAGAAAATGACAAAGATGCACTTTATAAAGCAGAGAATATTTCTCAAAAGGAAACATTGTGATTTAATAATAAGTGGGAAATTACTTCTTGCTTCTTCTATTCAAAGTTTCCTATCATCTCGTCAAGCTCTTCCTAGTCACGCCTAATTAAAATGCACGCGATGCATTTCTTTGAACTCCGTTAAACAAATGAAAGTTTACTTTTGTTGCATTTGTTTTGTAATTAAGGAAGTCCAAAGGAACAGACATGAGAATTTATGCACGAAGGCTGCCTCTCCTGCACAGACTCATGTTTGGCTTTTCTGGTGTTACAGGTGCTGTGGTTCAGGCTAAGCACTGTGCGCTTCTGGAGTCGCTGTTTCTCCTTCTCGACAGCACCTGCTGGCTTCTCAAAGTGGTTATAATGTGGCAATTTTAAACCAGAAGAAAAACCTCAAAGAATTAGAATCAGTTAGAAATCCTAGCCATTTCAATAAATGCAAAAATCAAGTATACCTAAAGAGGCTCCTGGATTTGATTCATCAAGTTATCACATATATAGATATATATTACAGAAAATTATGGAAAAGAACAATTAGATAAAATCCCTAGGAAAGAAAACCTCGGCCTACTGGCCTTAGCACCATTCTCATTAGGAAAAACAGAGTAGGCGACGGTCTCTCTCTTACCTACGCAGCACACATCTGATCACTTGGCCATGTCATGGAAACTGATACTTCCACCACCAGCCATAAGAGTTCAGACGCCCCCGGTAGTTTATATCTAAAAGCTCAGTCATCCTGTTCTTCCTGCTTTGTCAGCTTTTGTGGAGAGTTTTTCCCTTCTTCCCATTAGCAGAAATTTGGTTCACGCCGTTAAACAGCAGCACATAGTTTCCAAGCTGCATATCAAGGCTGCAACGCAATCTTCAGGTCCTGCAGCCATTCGTAAACCTCTTTAGCTTTGTTCTTGGGTAGAACATACAATGTCTGCAGAGTCCCTTGACTGAATGACAGCCCTTGAATGCCATTGTTATGTACTCATACAGAGATGTACAGAGGTACATACACAGACGGTGGACATAGCGGTTGTAATCACGTGCACTGCTGGCTAGTCTTCTTTCAAATGGGCTTAAGAATTTCCCCACAACTGAATCCCACGTAAGATAAAGATATAACACAATGTTTTCAGCATTCTGTCACGGTCTGCACTAGTCAAAAACCAGGGACAGGGAGACTCGTGAGGTAGTTACCTAAGAAAGGCAGTGGGCTGGGGTGTGGGCTTGATCTCTAGTACTGGCCAAATACTTTGAAACCAAACGAAAAAGAAAAAAAATGTTTCAGGAGTTCTCCATTCGAGAATGAAGTATTAATCTATTTAAAGACTCATGTGGAATAGGAAAATCCATGAGATCGTCAGCCTCCACTGTTTCAACAGATAGAAAAGGCAGGCTGAGTTAGAAAGAGTAGGGAGAAGGGATGGGGGAGGGGGGATAAGAGAGGGAAATGGAGAGAGAGAGGGAGGAAGAGAGAGAGAGAGAGAGCGCCCCAACCCAGAAGCCAGCTGATTGCAGTGCAGCAGAAGCACAAGCGCTATTCCAGACCATGGGCATGCTGTCACCCGACCCCTCATGGGGGCCAGGGGGAGGGGAGGGAAAGGGAGAGGGAACACACAGGACAGAAAAGAACAAGGCACAAGACATTTAAAAAGAAGTGCCCACACTGAAACAGACAGACAAAAACCATCACACGCACCCACACACAAAATAATCAGGATAACGACGACACCACCCGTGCGCTAACCACCCATGCATGTCTGCCAGCAGCTTCTGACCACGAGCTATCAGGATTTGGCAGTGGTTTTTCTTTTGTTTCTTTTTTTTTTTTATGTATTGTTCAACATGCACACACAACACAGGTTTTTTTGTTTTTGTTTTTGTTTTAATTTTTCCCTGTGCAGGCCTTTAAGGATGAGCTCCAAAACCACAAATGCTCAAAATCCTTATTCAGAGACCCCTTGTGCCAGCCTTGCCTAAATTAAAAAAAAAACAACAAAACTCATTCTTCTGCTCACATTTATGTTTACTCTCAGTGAGATCCTTATAATGGTGGTGAATTGCTACTTGGTTTTCTTTTGGAGAAAATCCATTTGGTTTCGAGTCATGCCCATGCACTTCCAACCTTCCAATACATGCTTATTCCAATCAGTTATTGGTAAAAACAAACAATCAACATATAGGAACAACTAGAATAAACTTCATACATACTCTAGCAACACAAGCTTGAATAAAGAATTGTAATGAGTCTTCATAGGGAAATTCTGAAAATGTTTTTTGTTTTGTTGTTTTGTTTTTGTAAATGAGAGAAAACAGCCATATGTAAGTCCAGTATAACTTTTAGACCAACAAGATGGCCACAGCTGGTTGACTTAGTATGTCTTGTCATTTCAGTTGCTAAGTTATCAAGCCACTTTTTCTGGGACCACATCACCATAAGGACCTTGTCAAGGTCATCATCAAGTGAATGTCAGTCATACGGTTGCTGCACTGACTAGCTGGGTCTCTAGTACGAGGATCAGATCAATTCTACAGTATCACGTCCTTGTTAATCTGCTTCCTTGGTCTGTTATTTCCACCATATCCTGTTACCCTTTAAAAGGGACTTGGAGAATTTCTTCCCTTTTCATCAAGTAAAATTTCAGATATTACTTTGGTTTACATTAGTGCTTTTGGCTGTGGGCTAAAGATTGAGCTGGCCAAAATAGTGGGGGACCCTTTAAGAAGTGACTATGAGGATCAGAGACAAGTTGAAGAATGAATGCAGAGGTGAGCTGGGCTTAGCCACCATTTCTCTGGCTCTTTACTGCTAAGGAGTCCAGCTGGAGGCACAAGAAGGCTGTGCTGGCTTTCTCCCATGAGCTTCTCACACCCAAGTCTCACCCTATGGCTCTGGTATGATATCTTCTCCAAATAAAGACAGTGACTACTTCTCCTGGAGCAGAGAGACCTATGTCCTACCACCAGTATGCTAACTGATCCCAAGCTAAGTGCCCAGAGACTCCTTTCCCTTTCCGATTTGTTTAAAGAGACAGACCTAATTAAAATGAGTAGCCCCAAATCAGAATCGATTTCTAGGTGATATCTCCATTTTTAGGCCAGGATAAGTTTCCTAGTTTGCATACCCTATCTAGATCTTTAAGGACGAGTTCCAAAAATACAAGTCCTTGGATTTAATTGAGGGATTGAAAACATGGAACTTTGGGGTTTTAGAGATAAATGGTTGCTATTTCTTCAAAGAGGTCAGAGAATTTGGGAACCCAGGTTGCACTTGACCCTGGAGTTAATTGCAGGAAGCCCAAAACTTAGAGTACTTAAAAAAGAATAAAACAAAATCTCTTGAACTATATTAAAACCACTGGAAAGCTCTGAAGCTATCAATAAATGTCAGGAGTTATTCAACACTAAGTTCAGTGGAGGGCAGAGTCTGAGATGTAGCCAGCTCTGTGGACATCACCTTAGAACACACACAATTTACACCTGACTGATTTCTCATGACTATGGCCTCTTTAACTTACTGCCTGAAGATTAGGACAGAATGAAGTGGGGAGTAGGCTGGAGAGCCCCATCATTTCCAGGTTGTGCTGCTGCTGCTCTGTGTGTGTGTGTGTGTGTGTGTGTGTGTGTGTGTGTGTGTGTGTGAGAGAGAGAGAGAGAGAGAGAGAGAGAGAGAGAGAGAGAGAGACAGGGAGTGAGAGCCCTGCTGAGCTGACCCTGAGTAAGGCAAGCTCTCCAGCAGCCAGCACAGCTTTTACTCAGAGATGTCCAACTTTTAAGTCCTCAGACACAGTTGTCTAAGGAAGTCAGTGTGGGCTAGATGCCATTCTTTAAGTTGAATGAACACTACAGCTGACTGATCACCTCTTGTCACTTAGGTGATAGATTTTTACCCTGCACAGCATTTAAAGTGACTGAAGCAGGCCCTTTCCAAATGATTCTCTTGGATTCAGTTATTAAAATGCAGCCCCCTTTAAACTAACATATCTACTCTAAGCACAATCTTGCCAAGGTTAAATTTGAGACGAGTAATAAAATAATATACAGATTAAACAGGACTCTCACTTTCTGATTGAAAAGAAAGAAAGGAAGGAAGGAAGGAAGAAAGGAAAAAAGTTAATAGACCTGTCTCCATTGGTAGTTCCCTGGTGACAGGGGAAAGAGACAGGGTGTCCTGATGTCCCTGTCTGAAGATTATGCACTCCGTTTTTATTCATCTTTTGGTTAAAAACAAACAAAAAAACTTAACCTACCTACCTTTTATTATTTGACTTGAAAAGTACCACACACCAAAGACTGCATTAAAACCTTACTTCATGCTGTTCAAATGGACTCAGAACATTCTTGGGGAGTTGGTTCCCACCCAATGGAAACATAACCTTAAATGAATAGAGAGACTGGGGAGGCTGGTGGGTAAGGAACATGGCCTCTATTTCAGATGCTAGCTCCGTAGACAAATACTGTTTTTTCCATTTAATTAAAAATATTTTTTGAAGTCTCATGTATTCCACGGTTTGGTATAGTTTTATAAGTAAGGAGGAATGTGTGATGGACACCCTGCCATGCTTGCCACCAGAGGGGAGGCCTCAATCTCACACTGCAACCATTGGCCACTGAACTCACAACAAAAATGACAAGACTCAGTGTAATGTCAAGCATTAAAAAATCATGGTGCATTTCTGAGATCAGTCTATTTGGAGCGTGAGTTCCCTTGAAGACTGCATTTCTCTTTTTCCCAGGCTTGCCTTGCCTCTCAGCAGCGCTGAGAAAGTAGATAAACAGGAATGTGATACCAACCGTGAACTGCTGGTTCTGTCGTCGCCGTGGTGTCTACAGACGGGAACAGAGGATTGGAGGAAGGGAAGAAACAGGAGGAACAGCATGCAAAAAAGGGGAGAATGGAAAAAAATGGAACAGATAATATATGAGCAAGCTTTCAAAGAACACCGCGTGACAAGCAATAATAAATGAAAAGCAAAGAGCATCTGAAGTGAGCGCACTGTTTTAAGACATGCCTTGAGCTCAAAGCTGCGAGCCAGGGAGGAAAACAGTAAATTCTTTGGTTCCGAGGGTCTTGCCAGGACACATGTATTTGCGAGTCAATAGTCAGGGGGACATGCAAAGTGATGAGAAACACCAGTGCAAACTCAGTGGCCGCTAGATGGTTTTTAAAGCATCGAGCTCAGGACTGCGACAGAAAAGCTCAGTTGGAAGGCTGGTTAAACAATGGATTCAGACATTCAAACATTGCCTTTGTTTCAACCCAACCCACCCAGGCGCTGGGGCTTCTGGACTAGCAATTAAGCATCACAGGAATCAACACCACTATTAGGAGGCCATTTTTCCAGCTGAAGCCCAGATGCTCAGAGATGAATATGCAACATAGAGATTCGAGTTCTCCATCCACTGTATTATTTCATCAGAAGCTAGTTGGTAAGTTCAATTCATGGGAGTGAACATGTTCAAGACACACGTGTGCACACATACCCACACACACACAGCCCGGATTCTTTGTTCTATAAGATACGTTATAATCTATGAGGTCTGTCACAAAAACACATGTGTTCACACAATTGGACAAACACCACTTGGGAATTTCCAAGTTTCAAGAATCCAGCTATCGCTGTGTTCAACATGACACCCCCAGGTTTGGCTGTCAGGTTTCTGCTGTCCTGGCTGGGTCGGGAGACAGAGCTATCCTCCCATCTGACCTGTCTCTTCTATTTCTGATGCTGTTCAAGCTGGTTCCTATCAGGTGGGGGCAATAGCGTCTCTTCACAGTAAAATGCCTCCAAAGCACTCAAGGAGATATTTTGCTCTTTACTTTTGGCTACAGAAGTGGGGCGACTAGCTAACAAAGTACATGACGGCCTTCTTTCCCTAGTCCTCTTAAAAACAGCCAACTTCACTCTGCTGTCAACGCACTAGGCCCCTCTTTCTTTCTCAGTTCTGCAGTTTTCAAGTGCGTTTCTTCTAGCAGCCCCTCCTTAGTCAGGAGCTGCTGCTGGTGAAGTGGAATCCCGAGGGTTAAAGGTCACAAGCAATCCCCTGCCATTTTTATGATAGGGGTCTTTAGCTGCCAATTGTTTTCAATGACTTGAACTTGACACAGGCAATGTTTAAATGCACTGGAACATTAAGTATAGAACTTTTTTTTTTTTTTTGGTGGAGGAGGCCAAATGAGCCTGGAGCTTCTGATGTATAAATATGACACATGAATTCACACCGGTGTTCCCCTTCAGTTGGCATGCTTTCTGCGACAACAGAGGGGCCTTATTACCATCAAAAAATCAAAGCCCTTCTAAGGAGCCAGAATTAATAAGAGGTCTTAGAGGCCAATGCATCTTGATATAACTGATCACTAAATTTCAAGGACAGAGGAAGGAGAGAAAACCATAAAATACACTGCAGAAGAATATAATACTTACTTATAAGTCAAGTCTGTGGGCCTAAAATAGCAGTGAAAACACAGGAAATTGTACAGGTGAAACGAACCCTATACCAGATCCTTAAAGATGACAGATGCATCTCCATAGTTGAGACATTTGAGTCCAACACTAGTTTGAGGCACTTTAAATTTGAGGGACAGGATCAAAGGCACATTTGTATAAACATTCATATGCATGTAATACATTTTATGGGAAGGCATTGGCTTCTTTCCAAAACAGAAGAAAAAAGCAATAAATGCTTTGGCTCATTATTTTTGTGGTACCACTTTTTAACATACCTTTTTTTTTTGACCAAGTAAATTATTAACATAAAATGAAAAAAGGGAGTGGATTAAAACATTAGGGTTAAAAGACTCAGAAATCAGATCTGAGCATTGACCAACAATCCCAATTTACTGTCTTCCTGTATTACAACATTATGTCAGCTTCATGACAAAATTAAACCAGATGAAGCCAGGCGTCAGCTCTTACATGGGCAGCAGACAATAAATGCAGCCATGACCACAGTGCATTTTGCTCCCAACTCTAGGGATGCGAAATCCATCAATTGAACTCAACAGAAGAGAAAAGGGCTATTAAGGAAAAACACTCTAAAACAGTTAAGCAAACACATATTCAAGTCAAACAACATGATTACTGCAGTTGGAAACGGCAAACCTACGAGCAGCAATGGATGGGACGCTGCGGCCGGAACACAGGTGGGTATGGGGCTTAAATCGGGATTAAGAGTGTGTCTGGGGAGCTATTGACTCTGTTTCTCACAGAGCATCTGGTGTGCGACCTGAGCAGAGGCTATTTCGAGTTAAGAGAGAAGAGAAAATGCTTTAGACGTAACTGTGTGCTCCCCATGGGGGGGGGGGGGGCAGCACTAGGACAGGATCTAATTCTCCTTCATAATTGCATTATGACACCATGCAGAAACCATAGACAGCTTGGCTCTGGGTGAGTACAGAGCTGTGAAGCATGATTTATTAGGGTATCTTCAGAAAATGGAGAAAAGTGCAAGTCCTCCCCCATGAATCGGCTTCTGGGGTGGTCACTGGAGCATTTTATAATATTTTAGTTTTGTGGGCAAATGCAAACATGCCAGTGTAAGTTAGAATTGCAATAAAGGGTTTGATTAGTGTCTGACCGCCCTCACAAACCTCTTTAAACCTCATGTGTTGTCTTAAAAAAAAAATCTTTGGGCTAGGTCTATGAAAAAAATGGTTACAAAAAGTAGAATGGGAGACATTGGCTCTAATATACAAAAAGGTTAAACCATTGTCTCTAGTTTTAATTATAGAGAGGACAAATGGATTGTATATTATTTTATATGTTTAAAATAAATGAAACAAACAAATAAAACCAAGTCAATCCCCGTTCTCACAAATGCTGAATGTATAAAGTCTCACTCGGCATGTACTCATAGTTTTATGATTCTACAATCAAAAGGAGGCGAGCTAGGGCCCACACTGACTTGGACGGCACTCATTCCACAACACGGACGTCCCTTCTTAGGCTCACAGTCCTGCAAACTGCTAATGGGGCCCTGCCTCAAATCAACAATCACATATTCCATGTTGAAGTACAAGATATTTGCAAAATGAAAAAGTTATGACAATGTGTGAGATTAGAGACTGTAGCCATTTAACCAAGTAGCCAAGAAGCAGGGTGTGTGTGTGTGTGTGTGTGTGTGTGTGTGTGTGTGTGTGTGTGTGGGAAATCAAACAAAAACCAAAAAAACCCACAACCTGCCTGAGAGGCAGCTGGGCAATATTTAGTGGAAACAGTCATGTGTAAGCCCCACTGTGGCCTGTTCTAATCCTTTCAGATGGATTCTCTCCAACTTAAAATTGTTCATTGAGTGTGACAGACTGGGGGCTTAAAACTAATCCATAAATTAGTCCATGGTCTCAAACACAACGGGTGCCATAAATGAAAATGAAAATCCTAGGACAAAATTAAATTCACTACCTCACTTTTCTTACCAATTGATCTCTGCTGTTCTTGCATCACGACCCAGAGTCGCAATAAGGCAGCGTGTGGCTATGTGAGACCAGGGTGGACGTGAGAAAATGCCATGGGTACAACCTAGAAAAGCCAGCTTACCCTGGAGCCGGGTTGAGTTGTACGGAATTCAACCTCTCCTGTTTTGCCAGCCATAAGCTAAGGTGGAAGTGGGACAAGCACTCTGGCAACATTTTAATACACTTTCCTCCAGTTTATTTCCTTAACTAAAGTCAATATGGAACCAACGGGCTTTCTTAATTGAATTCCTCTTCAGTCTCTGCTATGGAGGGGCTTTAAATCTCAGCACCAGGGCAGGCAAAGAATTCCCCTGATGATTTTACTTCATAGTTGTGCTGTGCTTGCCAATATATATTAAATATGAGTATTTTTTTCTCCCCCAACTTTAACTTATTTGAAATCTGTTGAAAGCAAAAATAAGTTCTGGGAAATTTGAGTTTGAAATTTATTTTCTATTGGTTTTTAATTAATTTCCTTGCTACCTATGTTCTGCTGATTTAACCTACCATTCCTTAATGATGGAGAAAAGGGATAAGAATAGAGCAAAGCTAAAAAGCCTAAACCAAAGTGTCCTAAGAAAGCTATTTTACGTGTGTGTGTGAGAGTGAGAGAGAGTGTGTATGTAGTTACCTGTATGGGTGCATGGAGAGACAAGGGGTCAACATCAGGATGTCCTTAACTGTTTCCCACCCTATCTATCTATCTATCTATCTATCTATCTATCTATCTATCTATCTA